CAGCCTTGGTGAAACTAAGCAGGTTGAAGAAGAAGATTTTTGGGATGGGGAGCAAGGGGGAAGTAAAGCAAAAAATGACGTGGGGGTATTCTCGTCAAGTGTGTGTACGTGTGCGTATGTGTGGAAATGGGGGAAGGGGAAGGAAGAAGGAGAAACGAAGAATGTAAATAAACGGAAGGGACTTCTATAAAAATATATAAAAAATTTAACTGAGAAAGGATAAAGGAATAAATAAGCGCAAGATAGTTCGCAGAAAATAACTGTGACCAAAGTTTGAAAAATCGTTCGCCGAAGCTCATCTGGGAAAGATGAAACAGGGACAAACAGTAGGCAGGAAAATTCTCAACAAAAAAAATACCTTTTCTTTGTTTTGCTTCGTTACAGTGGCTGTTTTTTCTCTTCATACCTTCTAGGTTCTTCCCCGCTTCATGCCAGCTTACGCGGGTTTGTTCCAGAAGTCCAAGCTAGCCACCACATCTTCGCCTGCTTCGTCTTCGTACGCATAAATAATCTAGAAAAGTTGGCATTAGGTAAACAACGTCCTCGGCAAAATGAAAGTGGGGAAAACAAGAGAAAGAAAAAGAGTATAGTTCTAGATAGAGGAAAGAGAGAAAAGGAGATAAATTTATTTGACAATAACTTACCTCCCTAGTAGACGAGTGCAACATCCGAATATTCCGTCCCGTCATGACGTGGATTAGTTCGCTGCTTTCAATGTGCCTGATTTCTATAAAGCTCGATTCGAAAGCGAGAATGTATGGATACGATAACGCGAACGCGACAGGATTTCCTTCCCACGCTATTCTCCAGTCTGGCTGAGCCCTCCAGCCGTTACGGTTGACGAAGAAGGAGAAGTCGCTATAGTTAAGGAGGAACTCGCCGTTCATCCGTTCAATATGGATGGGCTTTACGTTCTCTTTTCTAGCAACGAAATCGAGGGAGGTATCGGCCTGGTCCAGCAGCGATTGTCTTTCAGTGGTTTCCAGACTGACAACCTCGAAGCCTGCGAGAACAGCCTACGCAGAGTGTTGCTCGTAAGAAATGGACGGAAGAGATTCCGCAGAATGTAAAATTCCTAGAAACAGAAATAAATTAGCA